CAGCTAGACAAATGCTTGGACTTGCTAGACAAATGTTTTACTACTGAGCTACATCGCCAGCCTCTGTGCCTGCTATTTTTAATCTTACCTTAAGTACCCTGGAATCAGGCAGGAGCCAGACTTTTGAGGCATCTCAGGATAGAGGTGGTTGGCTTCCCAGGGGGTCCATTACTGAACTTCATAAGCTTAGATGTTAGAACCATTTCAGAATTTAAGGTCTGGAGAAAGGCTAGCATATGGTCACTAGGTTACAATGGGAAATGTGGGGTGAACAGGGTGGTTGGAGAGGTTGGATGCAGTCAGTACTAGGGCAGGACCACAATGTGGGGCGACCTATCTCAACACACTAGTTTCTGTGGATTAATGGCAGTATAGGCAGCTTTTGGAGGGAGACTTTGCTGGTAATTCTCTTTTATACTCCCCAGGTTCCTGCTTTTGGCCCCAGGAGGCCAACATCTATGAGCTATAGTACTTAGATTTTCTTACCTTTGGGCTTCAATCTAGTTTAGCCAGTGGGTAGTGATGATCAGGAATGAAGGGCAGAGGACAATGAGTGGGAGGAGTACCGATTCTTGCTTTCTCCCTGCAGTCCTGTGGCTTGTTCTTTTAAGTCCTCTCTCCATTTTTACAGGCCCTACTAGGCAGCCCTTCTTTTGCAGGTTTAGCTTTCACCAGCTCTGCTAACCGCCCCCCCCACCCCCCCACCCCTCCGCCTGCACCTTTCCCCTTCAGATCAAGGGGTAACACCTGCTGTTGCTAGATTTTGGGTGACTCTTGAACTCTTGTAGTTGTCTCTCACCCACCCACACTCTTATAAATAGTTCCTTCAGTTCCCTCTTCCTCCTCTTCCACCTTCCAGTTAAACTCTTTAGAGTCTGCCATCTGTTTTCTGTGGGGAACTAACTGATGAGGAGGGGAGTGAACACTCATGGAAGTGAAGTATCATGGTTTCAGTCATCTTCAGTGTCATCCTCATATTGTAACTCACCAAAAAAAGGCTTTACTCCTTCTCCGTCACCATCTTGCATGGAAGTTCCAGGAATCTCGCTGGTGACAGTTTTCTTCAGGCTCATCTGCCTCTGGGTCTAGCAGGAGAGCAAACTTGGAATTTATTTTCTTTACATTCAACACTTTGATTTTGCATTTGATTTCATTGTTAAAGTAATTGACAAATATTGATAGCTAAAACCAAATATTGATAGCATTTAAGTTTTTTTTCTTTTTAAACCTTCAGTGAACTAATCTGTGCTATAAACTAAAGACTGAGACTTATGTTAGTGGTAAGTTGTGTTAATATTGAACTAGGTCCAGTGACTATGAGACTCACTGGTAATGTTCATGTATGTTCCTAAAGGCCTGTGCACATTTGGCCTTTTCATCTCTAGAACATTAAGTTTAGAGCTCTGTTCTCTTCAGTGTCCTGGCAACAACTCATTTTTGACTAATGCCAAATTAATGACATTACTTAGGTAATGGGAACTCTTTGTGCTAGGCACTATATTGAATATTAGGGATAATAAATTTAAGATAAGATTCTTGCCTTCAAATGATTAAAACAATGCTTCAATGCCATTATTTAGAAATCTTGCAAACTTCTATGTAGGAAAAGTTTAAAAGCAAAATTTCTATTCAAAAGACACAAAAGTAGTATGGCTTTTGGAATGTTTTGCTACCTGACATCTACTCATAGACATCTATGAGTGAGCCTGTTCCTTTACTCTTTTGCAGATACTTGATTACTAATTTGGTAATTCGATTGATAAAAATTACAATTCTCAGTTTTGATTTGTATTTCTGAGATTATTGATGGAGTTAAATATTTTTATATTTCTATTTCCTATAATATTTCTTCTTTTAGAAACTGCCTGTTCATGTCCCTTTAACTGAAGATTTTGAGTAACTGCCCATTCTTATCTATAGAATATTAATATCATGACACAATGTTACAAAGCTTTGTTTTACAAGATTTTTAAATATTATATAATTTTGTTCATTTAATGCCTAGATTAAAAAATTAACAATTTAAATTTTATGGCTTAGTTCTTACAAGTCTTATCTACACAAAATCAAAATCTTTTATCCAGTTGGAATTTATATGGGTGTATAATATGAAGAAATGACTATTTTCCAATTATTCAAAACTTTGGGCAGGCTCTAATTGTGCGGAGCTTTGAATTCTTTTTGGAGAAATGTGTTTGGAGAACTGTGTTCCATTGTGATATTTGGAGGTGTGGAAGCTGGAAAGTCACATTGGATCTACCTTTTCTTGCAGTAAACTCGAGAGGGGTCCTGAACTAGATGGCAAGAGGACTGGTAGGAGAAATTGTAGTGTTTTCATGACTGCATGAGTAACTTTGTGCTGCTCTTCCAGTCTAAATACCATCTCCTTAAAATGACATTAGCATTTTCATATGAAGACCTTAATATCAAGAGTGAATCTGAGGGGCTGGGGTTGTGGCTCAGCGGTAGAGCACTCCAGTAGCATGTGCAAGGCACTGGGTTTGATCCTCAACACCACATAAAAATGGATAAATAAAATAAAGGTGCTGTGTCTAACTACAACTAACAACAACAACAAAAAAGAGTGAATCTGAAATGCCTTTAGACCAATAACTAACCCCTCCCCCTTTCTCCTTCCTTCCTCACCCCTTCTCCTTCCTTCCTCACCCCTTCTCCTTTCCCTTTCCTTCTCCTTTTTCTCCTCCCCTTTCTCCTTCCTTTCCTTCCTCTTCCTGCTCTCCCCCCTTCTCTGTCTCCATTTTCTTTTTGGTAAATACACCTAGAATAGAGATTCCTAGCACAGGATTACCAGCTAGGGACTTTGGGTGGATTTTTAAAAAATTCTTTTATCTCTTTGAACATCAGTGCCTTATCTACAAAATGAGGATGACACTAACAGTACCTAGCTCATGAAGTGTATTATCCTATGACATGTACACTTGAATACATAGTTACCGTTTTTGATTATACAAAGTATTAATGATTTTTTTTTTTTGAGCTTGGGTTTCACTATGTTGCTCCAGCTGTCCTCCAACTCCTCGAGTGATCTTCTTTCAGTCTCACAGGTAGCTGGGACTGTGGGTGTGGGCCACCATGTGGGACTAATGAACAATATTTATCATTTAAATTGTTGCCTAATCATATGGTTAGATATACCTCAAGGTTACATTAATTTAAAATATTTCCTAGTTTGGAAAACTGAACTCACTGTTTTTGTGCAGCATCCTGCAGAATATCAAAAACAATTATTCACTTAAGAAGCACTTTGGCTATTTGCTTATTATTTTAATTAGGACTGAGAGGCAATTTACTCCTGGCCTAAAGGGGCTACTTCTATGCTTAGAGTGAAGCTGCCTTCTTAGAGCATCCATAGGATAATGGGATATGATGTGAGTGCAATGAAACCTCAAGAGACAGCAAACCCTTTCCTGTAGTATGCTTCTCATTTTGTGAACATTCAACCATATTTGAACACATCGTGTTAGGGAGAAAGGTAACAAATCTGGGATATAAGATTTTTATCTCTATTTCACAGATGAAGATGCAGAAAACCAGAGAGGGGGGAAGAATCTTGTCCAGGAGGCCAAGCTGAGTTTCACAGCTTAGTTTTGTTTGCCTTTAAAGTAGAAGTTTCCCTCTCAAAGGCCTGAGGATGGCTGAGTACATATCTCCACAATTGGGCTATTGCAGGACCCACCCAGCTCCAGGGGATTGTGCACTGAAGAACTTTCTTCTCTCTTGAACACCCAGGAAACATGCTGCCCCCTTCCAGCACCTGGAGTCTAAAGGAAGATCCCAGAAGATTCTATTTGCCACTATCCTGATGTCACTTTTGAGTTGCCTGAGTATTTGGAGAGGGGGGTTGATAGAGAGTAGAAGGCTAGAAAATAAACATGTGAGGGCCTGCTAAGTGCCAAATATTGAATAAAGCACTTTCATTTACGTTATTTCATTAAATTGTTTTTTTTTCTTTTTGTCCCTTAAAAAATGGTGAAGCGAGGCTTGGTGGTGCACATCTGTAATCCTAGTGGCTCAGGAGATCAAGGCAGGAGGATTGCAGGTTTGAAGCCACCCTCAGTGACTTAGCAAGATTGCAAGCAACTCAGCAAGATCCTGTCTCACAATAAAAAAAATAAAAAAAGGACTGGGAACATGGTTTAGTGGTTAAGTACCCTTGGGTTCAATCACTGGTAACAGCAACAACAACAACAAAAGTGAAATATTACACATGAAGATGAACAAAACAGAAAACAACAGTTTATCACAAAGAAAAAATCCAAATAGCCATCACCAAGGTTAAAAAGTTTAAAAAGTAGAACATTCCTAGCCCCCTAAGACTCTCTCTAGTGCTGTCTAGCCACTTACAATTAACTTTCCCTCTCTGAAGATGACTACTCTCTGGTTTTTGTGATTATTACTTTCTTTTGTTTATTTGTAACATATCATGCATCCATGCCACTTTGTGCTGATCAGGGATTGACCCTTGTATGATGGACTCATAATGTATCCCTCTATGTCTGGCTCTTTTACTTAACATTACATTTCTGAGAGTTTCATCTTTGCTGTTCCCCAAAGCTAAAATTTGTTCATTTCCTTAATGTATGTTATTGCATTTATAAATATATCACAATTAATTTGTGAATATTAGTTTTGATGACATTTGGGTTGTTTCAGTCTTTAGCTATTATGATTTAGCTATTATGAAACTACTATGAATGCCAATTATTGTGTCTTGGACCACATCAGAAATTCTGAATATGGCTGAATCTGAGATTATAATATGAATTTTCCAGAAATCTGAATCTCATGCCCTTGATTTGAAGATTCTTTTTACAAATTACCCTCACAGTAGACAGCATGGAAGCATACTCCCTGAAACGTACCCTTAACTGACAGTGCATTTTCTTTTAAATAGGCAGAGGAACCGTCTATCTTGAGGTCCAGCATTATTATGTAACACAGAATAAGAATGCTAAGAAAAACGATTGCTTAAACTGAGCAAAAACAGCCCATGCAGGAGGCTTCAGTCTAGGGGGCTCTTTGGAACCAGCGCCTTCTCCACCGGGGGAGTGCGGGGAATGAGGCATCTCATTTAGGCTCCAGGACCTGGAGGGGGTTCCACCAGCGCAAAGAGGATTCTCTGCAGCCAGGGGCGGGGGTGAGGGGTAGGAGTAAGGAGAGCCAGCGCTCGCGGCTTGTTGCCTGGCGACGGAGCGCGCGTCCTTTCCGCATTGAACAGGTTGATCCCACCCGGCCCCTGCGCCCTACCAGGGGCAGTTGCAAATCCCGCCCGCCCCATAGGGTGAATGTTTGACACATGAATGAGAACACGGACGTCCTCGGAGACAGGTGAGAGTAGACCTCGGATTGGGACCCTGGTGTCCTTGGATTCCGTGGGAAGGAGTGACCGTGATACACAAGCAGAGCAGTTACCTCTTCTGTTCCGTTGCTCTAATCCACTTTGGCAGGTTCCAGGCCCCGCAGAAATCAGGGCTGAAGACAGGGCAGGTTGAGAAGGGATTGGAGGCTGGAACAGGGGCTGAGCTTCTTGGGTTCTGGGGCTGAAATTAAAGTCTAACTTTCATGGGAAAATGAGCACGAGTTGAAGAGGTGGTGGGAGTGAAAACCTGGATGGAAGGCATACTGTGACAGACTGGGCTGTGGGGAAAGAAAGAAAAAAAAAGAAAAAAGAGGAGAAGGAATCAGAGAAGCTTTGGGGAGAGCAAAAGGTCACAGTAAGGAAATTTAATTTCCATTTCTCTGACTTTCTGTGCTATGCCTTTACAGGGTAGCTTGTTTGAGGTTAACTTTAACATCACAGGAGGTGATCACTCCCATTGTGACTGGTTGTGTCTAACTTCAGAATAGAGAAGTTTCTGAGTTTGTATCCTGAGTTTGGTAGGCAGTAGGACATTGTGTGCTTAATGCAAGGATTCTTTGTCCTTGAAGGCCATAGACATTCAATGAATCTATTGTAGACTACCATTACAGGAGCTTAAAGAAAATCAATAGTTATTTTTAAACATGCAAATATAAATGTTTAGCAAATTGCTCTTTTCCTATTTAAAATAACATACAAGTATAATTTATAATCAATAAACTACACAAATGTATATTTTGTACAATGTAGAGCTGTGCAATTTGTTTATTTTGACAGACATATACATCTTTGAAGCAATTACTGCAATCAAGTAACTGAAACTTTTCCTTTCTCTGCCCACTCTGCTATTCATTTCTGTTCTTACCCCTTATCCCCAAGACATCACCTATCTGCCGTGAGACACTATATCATAGGTTGCATTTTTTTTTTAAAGGAGCACATAGTATGTCTTCTTTTGTGTCTGGCTTCCTTTACTCAGCATAATGATTTATCAGGAACTTTGCCTTGCTTACTATAACTTACTGTAGTGTAAGTTTTGAAGTTGAACAGTATAAATTCTCCAGATATTTCTTTTTATATATCCCTTTTGTGATTTAAAACCATTTGAACTTCTATACATTTTAGAATCAGCTTGTAATTTCAAAAAACAAACAAATCTGAAATTTTGGTTGGGACTGCATTGAATTTGTAGATCAATTGGGGGAGAACTGCCATTTTAATGATATTAGTATCTAAAATAGGCATAGTATGTCTCCATTTATGCAGTTTTTAATTTCTATTAACAATGTACTGTGATTTTCATTGTAGAAATTTTGGGCATTTTTTGGTTAGATTAATTCATAAATATTTTATGTTTTGAGGAGGCATCAGTGTAATTGGAATTAGAAAACACTGATTGTTTGCTGCTAGGATATAAAAATACAAGTGATTTTATATTTCAGCATTCATTAGTGTTAGTAGTTGTTTTCTAGATTTCTTAAGAAAATCATATCAAGGAAATAGGGAATTTCACCTTTTCCTTTTCAAACTTTATTTCTTTTAATTCTTTTTCTTGCATTGGCTAGGACCTCCAGTATAATACTGAAGTTATAGTAAGAGTGAGGCATTTTTGCCTTGTTTCCAATTTAGGGGGAAAACATAAATATGTTAGTTTTAAATTGTTTTTTAAAAAAATTCCTTTAATCATATTGGAATGGTTTCCTCATGATTCATAGTTTTATCAGGGTTATTTGTTTATTTATTTTTATCATGAGTTGGTATTGAATTTAACCAAAAGCTTTTCCACTATCTATTGAAATGATCATGTGTTTTTTTCTCCTACACTATGTTAATATTGTGAATTCTAGTGATTTTCAAATAAGTATAATTAAATTTGTAGTCTTAATTTTTCAATCTAGGACAAACACTATTAGGTCAGGATATATTATCCTTTTAAAGTTATAATTTCGAATTTGATTTTCTAATGTATATACACACGTGTGTGTGTATATATATTATATATATATATATATATTGGAGGGGTGAGGTACTGGGGATTGAACCCAGGGGTGCTCAACCACTGAGCCATATACTTAGCCCTTTTATTTTTCATTTTGAGATAGGATCTCACTAAGTGCTTAGGGCCTCACTAAGTTGTTGAGCCTGATTTGAACTTGTGATCCTCCGGCCTCAAACTTCCCAAACTACAGTATTACAAGTGGGTGTGCACCTCTGTGCTGGGCTTCATTAGATTCTTGGGGATTCAGATTTCTCTCTGCTATAATTACTTTTTAACTTGAAGAATTTTATTAAGCATTTCTTATAGTTTGTTTGGACTGGTGAACAATTCTCTTCATTTTCCTCTATCTGAATGTCTTTATTTTGCCCTATTTAAAAAAATGTGACCGATATAAAATTTTGAGATGACAGTTTTGTTTTTTGTTTTGTTTTGTTTTAGTGAGGCTACAGACCTTGTTTCACACTCCTCTGTTCTAAGTGCTGTCCTGTGGGAAGTCTATGATCATTTGAATTGTTTCCTTGTAAATAATGTATTGTTTACTTCTGCCAGCTTTCAAATTTTATCTTTGGCTTTGGTTTTCTGTAGCTTACTTGAAGTTTTGTTTAAATTTATCTCACTTGGAGTTGACTGAGCTTCTTAAATCTCTCAATTTATATCTTTCTCCAAATTTGAGAATTTCTCAGAAATAATTTTTTTGAGTGTTTTTTTCTGCTCCATTTTCTCCTGTCCTTTTGGAATATGGATTATCTTACTTGGTTAGGGTATTGATACTGTCTCTACAAGATTTCGAGGTGCTCTCTTTTTTTCTTAAAGCTTTTTTCTTCTGTTGATTTTCCTTCTAGTTCAGTCTTTTCTCTGACATTTCATTTTGCTAGCCAAATTTTTACTAAAAATATTATGTTTTTTAGGTATAAACTTTCTATATTTAATTTTCTTTCTATACTAATATTTTCTTAGTTATCTCTAGTGTATTTTCCTTTACTTCAATGAGCATAGTTATAATAACTGCGTTAAAATCCTTGTTTAAGGTGGTCTCAGAGGTATATGTCTATAAACCCAGCTACTTGGGAGGTTGAAGCAGAAAAATTGCAAGATTGAGACCAGCCTGGGAAACAATGAGACCTCTTCTCAAAATAAAATGAAAAGGGGTGGAGGCTCAAAGCCTCAGGCCTTTGGTTCCATACACTGTACTGAAAAAAAAAATTCTTGTCCAATAATTTCAATATCTGGGTCATTTCTGAATAAGACACTGGATGAATGTCATTAAATGAGTCACATTTTTCTGCCGAGTACTTTTAGACTATACTGTGGACATTGTGAATGTTTTGTTGTGTACACTAAGGATTCTGCTATATTCTCTCTGAAGAATGTTGGCGTTTTTCATTTAGCAGATGATTCACCAGGTTGTACTCACCGTAAGCTTGCTCTCACTCTCTGTGGCTGGCAAGTTCAGTTCACATCTTTGTGGTGCTGCTTTGAGTTTGCCCCACATATACATGGTTCAAAGGTGAGTCTGAGACTTGTGTGGGATGTAGACACAGAACTGGAGGATATCTTCTCTGGCACTCTCTTTTCTGGGATTTCTCTTGTACTCCTCAGTGATGATTGTTGCCTGGGCTCTGTTCCCTGATTCTTCTGATCAGAATAATGAAAGGCATTCTGTTGAAGCTTTTATCACCTGTACTGTGCTATTTTGCAATTACACACTGTATTTAGGAAAAAGCCACAGTAAACCCGAAATTCACATCCTCCAGTGTTTTCATAAGTTTTGACTACCACACAATCTTCCTATTTTTGCTTATTCCTAAGAATTCTCAGATTGTTTTAAAATATTTTGGCAGGGGTTTATAAGTTATTAATTGGTGAGGGATTAATCTGTAAGATGTAGCTATGGAAGTCCAACAAATTGCCTTTGAAACAGGGCAGGCAGCATTTAATAAGTCAAAGGCATAATGAAAATTTAAAAACACACAATGTTTCATTTTCCTGTCTTGGTTGTTTGAGAAATTAGATGAAGGAAGGATAGAAAATGGGGAGAAGAAAAACAGGGAGAGTATTTGTTATTCTACAACTCTTATGTGTATGTATGATATACAGATAGACATATATTTTTATGTGTACATATATTCACAAGGGATGTGAGCATACTCTAGATTCTGGTGATAAAGATTTGAATAAGTTAAGTTTTATAGTTACTAAAATTTCTTTGGACTTCTGAAGAGTCAGAAAAAAGTCTCTTTTAAGCTTGAGAACAGCCTTTTCTCTATTTTCTATACACTTTTAAATGAGCACATACAGTTACTATTACTGATATTATTATTATTGCTATTAATATTATTAGGATTAAAAGCAGCAAAACAAATATTATGAAAAATTTGGAAAAATAGGAAAAATGATTGTTATCTCACTCTTTAGCAAAGTTATTAATATGTTTGTATGTTTCCTTTTAGACTTTTTCAGAAATTATGATTAGAGCACAAACAGATTTTTTTTACCACTGATATTTAAAAAGCAAATATTGTCTCAGAATTTTTAATTTTCCTTGCAATATTAAAGATTTTACAAGATGAGATAGGCTGTATTTGGACTTAGAAGTTTCTTTTGAAACTTTAGTGATGTGCTTTGGAAGTTAGCATAAACACTAAATTTCAGGAAATAAATTGAGATATTTGACTATGGAACTAAGAGAACACAAATTCTGTTCATTATGGGTCACCCCTCCACCGTATATAAAAAGAGAACAAGGTCAGGTAATCCATGTCACCAGCTGGGGCTTGGGCCCCATTCTCAATGTTATACTGTGATGAGTTCGGTCTAACATAAGCTGGAATTCTTTCCCTGTAACCAGATGGGTTCATGTAGCTTGGAACCAGGTCATCCAATGTCCACTCTATTTATTTCTATTTTAGTTAGCCTCTAGGGAAGAATTTGGATTTGCTGTTCCAGAAGGAGAAGCAGCCATACCTACAAGAATCCAATAGCAATTTGCACCCAAGTCTGCTAAGGCCTATTAGCCATTATTTTGGTCAGGAAATGTCTACCTGATGCCTGACCTAGCCTTGTGAAAGAGGAGAAAAGGTTGTCCCTTAGCCTTTCTGACTAACCAACCACTTGGCCTTGAACCTCCCAGTAGAAAAGGAAGGAAAAGGGACAGAATTCCAAATTTGAAAACAAAAAATTATTGCTTGAGCTCCTTTCTATTCTGTTTTGAAGTGCAAGATAAACTTAATTACTTTGGATTTTCAGCAGCAGATTTGGATCTCTTGTAGAGTAATCTTTTGTACTATATTATTTTTCCTGAGTAACTCCAAACCAAAACCAATCTCTGTAAAATGCTCCCAATAAAGAGAGAATATACTAGTTTTCCATAAGACTGGATGCTTAAAAATCATTTTACTTATTTTGTAGTGTTGAGGAGTGGGTGGGGGAATAAAGGCACCAAGATTTGATGAGCTGGTCAAGTAAGCATTTGGGATATTACTCACCTTCAATGCATAATAGAAGGTTCCTGTCAAGCTCATAAGGTCTATTTCCTATAAGGAACTCGTGGGAATGTAGTGAGAAGTGTTAAACAATAGACATTTGTTAAACTTCAATAGCAAATTAAGGGCCTGGGAGAAGTTGGTCATCCAAAGCAGGAACTAAGAAATAAAATGGGAAGTGCAATTGGGAAAGTCAAGTCAGACTCTCATCAGGTATAAAGTACTTCTGGTCTGTGCTCTGTTCCATTAATTTTCCGGCTCTTGCAAGAAGAAATGTAGGTGATGTCTGCATGAACATATTGCTACCTATGCAAAGAGTAACAGCTAAAATAGTAAGAGGAGGATTATATAGTATTTTTAAAATAAGGAAACTTCCTCATAGCCTTTAGAATTCATTTCTAATGTTCATATCCTATGGTCTGGACAACAGGCAATGGATTATTATTTTTTTTCACTATTTAATATGATTCCATAGCATGGACAGAATTAAATTGTCCATGGTCCAGTCAGTGGTAGAGCTGGGTAAAGAAAGAAAGCCTACTGGTTCCAAGGTGAGAGCTTTATCATGTAACATAGTTTTCAGTTTGAGAATTACAAGTTCATATTTTAGAAATTTAAAGCAATGTGACTATTTGGAGGACAAATAGAACATTTTCTTCATATTACCAAAACTACATGATAAACAAAGAATTCCCATTGTCACTAAGAACTTTTTCATCAATTGATCTGAATCCAACCACAAAATGTGGATAAGTAATAAGCAAAGAAATGAAGAGCAAAAATAAAATATTTGCCACATGTAAAGTTTTAAATCTATCTGGGTTTATTCTGGCACCTAGTAGAAAATGAGCTAGGCTCTCTTCCAAAATAGTCAACCAATTGCCTCAGCAAAACTTATGGAACAGTTCTTTTATCACCAACTGAATGCGGCCTTAATAATATGACTTATATTATTTTAATTCTTTTTCTCTCAGCTTATTGATTCTAACAGCAGTGTTCTGGTTCTAATTCTTATATCTGCATAAGTTTTAATGCTCTGTTGCTCCCTAATTGAGGAACAAGTATTCCATTATTTCCTTTCTCATATCTTTGGCTAATTTGTCATATTTATTATTTCAAATGAATTCAGAATTACTTTTCAAATTCCAAAATGTAATTTTTAGATTTTCATATTGGTAATAAACCAATACAGTATTTTGGGAAGACCTGATATAATTATTTGGTCTTTCCACCAAGGAATATTGTCTATGTAGTTGAGTCTTTTATGTACTTCAATAAAATATTGAATTCAATTTTAAAAGTTATTCATCTAGTTTTAGTACATTTCTTGTTATGTTTATGCCCAGATACTTGTCTCTTTGCTCTTTTAAGAAATTTTAAGTGAATTTTTACCATATTTTTAATTGGACCATTTGGTATAAAGGAAGCTATTAATTTTTATATAATTTAAAAAAATTTAAATCCCTTACAGTACTCTATTATAGTTCAAAATAGTTTTTAGTACCTTGGTTTTCTAGGTGAATAATCATATCTGCAAGTGATATGACATTCTGAAGGTGTTTATACTTTAATTTTGTGTTTCAAAGGACTTTGGTCTTGGGTTTTCTAAAAAAAAAAAGTTACTGGCTGATTCATTGATTTCTGTTTTTATTTTCATTGTTTTACTCCTATTCCTTGAAACACTCCTCTTCTTGGCTTCTGGGGAATTCTATTCTTTTCATTTTCCTAATTTTCTGATCTTAGCCCTTTCATCTTGCACAGGTAAATGAGCCATGGAATCTGTCATCGGCTCCTTCTCTTTTTATAGTTCCTGTTAGCCTGGCTTTCAAGATCTCAGAATCCACTTATGATCCTAGATATCTAGTTTTGTTGAATAAGTTGTTTTTTTTTAAATAGTAAAATATATAACATAAAATTTACCTTCTTAACCATTTTGAAGTGCACAATTCATGAATAACCAAATTTTATTATGTACTTGGTTATGACTAAGACTTCATCATGATGATTCAAAGCCCTTATTATTATTATTATTATTAATATTGTTATTATTTAGTGCTATGGATTTAACCCGGGGCCTCCTGCATAATAGGCAAACACTGGATCACTTAATTACATTCCCAGCCTCTTGAAGTCCCTATATTATGAAGGAGCTTTAGTTATTCCTATTTATTCCTAATCACTGGCAGGCCTTACTAGTTTTACCTTGTAATGTTTCTGTTTTCACTCTGCTCCATTTTTAAGCCTAGGAAAGGCTCAAGCTACAGAGGTTGTCAGTGCCCTTCTTGCCTGTATTGTTTCATTTACTCCATATCAATATCCCCAAGCACCAGGTCCTATCAAGTCACTTTTTTTCTAAAATTTTTGAGTGGTTCTCTGTAGCTCACAGAAAAAATACAAATATTCAGCATTCAAGGCTTATAATTTGTCTGTACTCAACCTTGAGGCTGACCACCTCCCTCTGTATACTCTGCTATAGCACAGGTGGCACATTGAGGGAATTGGGCTGGGTAAGGGAGGGAGACACCTGGGACCTGCTAGAGAAGAACCTGGGAACAGCTATCAGCCACAAGAGCAGGCATTTGTTTGGCCCTTATATTGCCAGAACCATTACCACCACCAGCCCTCCCCAGCCCCCTGAAACTGCAAATCTGGATTTTTATGTAAAAATCTCCCAGTTTAAAATCGTTGGCTATTAATTAACATTTTTAAAAAACGGAACAATTGGAAACCATGTTTGTGGGCTGGACCTAGGCCACAGGTCAGTTGGTGAGGTTTGTTCTCTGTGAGCGGGGCTACTTGAGATTTTCTATGCCTAGCAGGTTCTTCCTTCCCTGGAAGTAGAACTCCACATTATACTCCAAAGAAATGTTAAAATAGACCCAAGCTTGGGAAACTCCTATTGAAAAACATTACTGCGTTACAGGGTTTTCATGATTCACGTGAAAAGAGGGTAGGTGGATGTAAAATTATTTCATGCAGTTTTGCCTAAGGAGCACAACGAGGTCCTATCATGAGCAGCTTTGCTAAACTGGAATTTTGTGTATTAACAAAAATTTGTTTAAAAAAATATATAATTTTTTTGTGTGTGTTTTAATGTGTTGGGGGTATTTTACAGGTCAAATTTGTCAAGATGTCCACCTTCAAAAAGCACTTTGGACTGAAATCCAGAGAAGAATCCCTCCTGTTTAAAGAGCTGGAGAAGGTTCGCCAGGAGGCTAAAAAGGACTTTCTCAAATTCAAGCAGAAGTTGGCGTCTAACCTGACTTCAAATGAAGGACTAGACCACCACCCCCGTCCGGCCCGCCCTGGGGAGAAGAGGAGCGAAGGTTCCTTCACGCCTCGCAGAACCCTTTCCAAAGGGTCCCCTCCCGCCAAAGTCCCTGCGACCGCTGCTGGGGTCTTCCTGCAGGAGGCGCTCCAAGGGCTAGCGCGCCCCTCGAGCCCGAGCGAGGCTTTCGCTGTGCGAAAGACCAGACCATTTCGTCCCCAGGAGTTTTACTTGCGGAGCTCCGCGTTCCTGCGGTACAGGATCCAGAAGATACCGCCGATCATCACTCCGGAGGTGGGCACATCTAAACCTGTGGTCCTGCGGCCGCTGCCCACGTCCCTGGGCAAGTCAGGAGCGCGCCTGAGTCCCGGGAGCCCGCGGGCCGCAGCGGCCAGGCAGGTCGTCGACGCGGCAGAGGAGCAAGAAGCAAACCAGGAGATAACTCCGTTCTCAGAGGCCCAGGGGGCCAAAGACAGGAAGACCAGCTCCATTTCCAGCGAGGACAGCGACTGGGAGGCGGGATGGTGGCGGAGGAGAGTAAAGATTCGCGCTCACTTCATGAGCCAGGGCTCAGTCCCCAGGGGGTCGGAGGCAGACGAGTCCATTTCCAAAGCAGTGTGGGAGAGTGGCCTGCTTAGGGATGTGCACGAGGTCGCCCAGCCTGAGCTGCTGCCCACCAGAGTGATCCCCAGAACCATCGAGGAGGTCATCACCTCGCTGCAGTCGGAGGCCCAGCTGGCCTCTGACCAGATCATCAGAGAGCTCATACAGAGCATCCTGGGCCAGAACTACGACATAAAAATAGAAGTAGGTGACCAGAACGACGGTTATGTTTTTCCTGGGTAAAACAACTTTTAGTAGAGAGAGAGAGATATGTACTGATCTCTCTTTATAGATAAATCTCTCTATATATCTGTTCCATATATTCTGTATAAGCTGTTGATGCATACATTATTTAGGATACATGTTATTTCATTACATATAATATTTCATCATATGATGTTTTCTAACACGAAAACATCATATATGATGATGAGTCATTGATAGAGTCATTGATCTTCTTTGTATTTCATTTGAATTTTGAATTTTCATTCAAGGAGGGTGTCTTCTTTTTGAAGTGAAGGAATATGGGATATTATTCCAAAATCTGGTTTAAAGATTATTAAATGAGCTAAAGTCTGGAATAATAAAGCACAGGTTACCTTCACTTTCAAAAACTGTGATTATTTAGTAATGAAATAACAGGCATTTCATATGAAGAACTTGCTCTTTTTCTGTTTGTTTAGCCTTATCAGTAATGAAGTACAATAAAGGTGAGTTTTTGTCCTAAGGAGTTCAGTATGCTACAATTAAGAAATTTAACTGATAAGAATTCTGTATTTTCAGTGAAAATAGTTCTCTTGAAGCATTTAAAAATGTATTTCCTAGGTCTCTCCAATTATAAAGACTTAGACGTGCTTCTTGTGTGCAAAGTACTATGGGACACACTTTATGTGCATCTTTTCTTAATAAAAACAGCATCAGGTAGATAGATACCAGTAAAAGTCCTGTTTTATCTAAGAGGCCCTGCTAGCTTTAGTAAGACTGAAGACTTGGCACAAGGATTCTACAGCTAAAGCATGGTAGAGCTGGAATTCCACCTGTTGTCTCCTGGTAAAGACTAGATTGGAATAGTTTCCAGGAAGGCCCATTTGTCAACTATGATATGTCCCCCAGAGGAAGCAAAGTTAGATAGGGTCATATTTAAGTTTAAGATATTTTGTTGATTATATAGACTTTGCTCTGGTGGGGGCATTCAAAGCAAATAGTAACAAGGGAACATTAGTCCCACAATAAAGGGAGGTTGGGGGGAAGGTGAGAGAGAGAGACTCAGAGAGACTATTTAAGAATGACAAAGGGAATGATAGTAAGGGGGAAGAAGATTCTACTGCTGTTTTTGGCTGCAGCCTCAAATCTATTGTTGTACAAAGAATACTGTCACCAAATTATGTCTTTGAAATACTTTCATCCCCCAAATACACTCTTGGCTGTGATTTGAGGAACATGATCATAAAGAGAAACAAAAACATATATGAGCTAGAGTCTCTAGTGTCATCTTTGACCAGAATATCACAAGTATTCTGAATTAAGACCCCCCCATTTACTGAACAAGATCAGCACGACTTCTTGAGTCATTTTAAATGGAGTATTTCTAGTTAAGTTTTTTTTTTTTTTTTTTGCAAATCTTTTTGGAAAAGAAATTAAGAATGCCCAACTGAAGGGCCTTAGCAAAGAGGAGAAAGGCCTCAGTATTCTTTTAAAATGGGCTATATATTTTATGGCATAGTCAAGCTACTAGACATAAAGAGGGGCTGGTATTAGAAACTTGCTCAGAGGTCCTGTACCGTTGAGGAAAGTTGTATAGCAGGGTAAAGGCCCATAAGAAAGAATACATTTTGGAGGACTCAAATGGAATTGGGGTATATGAAGGAAGAACATCAAATAAATAATGAATATTAGAAAGCAAATTTTATTCTGCTAAAATATTCATTTGTATCCTTTTTTTGTTTTTGGTACTTTGGTGACCCAAATTAAGAAGGGTTGATGTCAGTGGAGGGTCCAAACTTGGAACAATGTACAGCAATAAAAAGGCCATTTTTGAATAAACTTTGTATACAACTAGAAAAAAAAAGAGGCCATCCTTTCTATATTCCCTGTGGTGTCACTAGAGATGGTAAGGGTAATGAGATAATAATAAGATAATAATAAGGGTAAGTAATGAGATACTTCTATTCTTTCCAACCAGGATGGTGTCAACAGCAGCCTAATAGGGAATCACAACTCCTATTTTCCCATCCAACAGTAACAAAGAGGCCCCCAACTCTGATCCTAGTGGAGGCTGAATGAGGAACCTGAATCATTATCCCTACCTGGCACTAATGAGGCATTGCCTGCCCTATTCCCAGTGCTTTATTAGAGTAGTGTCAGAGGAAGCCACCTAAAACAGAAAGTTTAAATAAGATCCAGAGTTTTAATGATACCTCAAATGTTCAAGTTTTTATAGAAAAATTGCTTGTCATGCCAAGAACCAAGAACACCTTCATTCAAAAAAAAAAAAAAAAAAAAACAAAACAGTAGGTGCCAGTATTGAGATGTTTGGATTATCTGACAAAAACTTTAAAAATGCTTTAATAAATAATTATGAACATATTTGAAAAATGAGAAAAAATAGAAAGTCTTAGCAGAGAAGTAAAAAGTCTCAGGAGAACCAAAGGAAAAAATTTCAAGCTGAAAAATACAATAACTGAAATAAAAACTGTGTGGATGGTTTCCCCAGCTTAATGGAGAACCTAGGGGACAGAATCAATGAACTCAAAGATAGAACAATAAGACTGACCTCAAGTGAAAAAGAGAAACTAGACTGACAAAATTCAAAACAAAACAAAAATCTATAGGCTTTTTAGAAACCTCTGAAATTAAACAAAAAAAATGTAATCTTCATGTCATCACAGTCCTGGAAGGAGAGAAAAGATAAGGCAGGATTAAAAAAGTGCTCAACCGGTTTTCGGGCCTGGCTCCACGGTAGAGGCGGCAGCGGCTGTGGCGGCGGCAACGGAGGAGGAGGGGTGGGACGCGGCTTGTGGGAGCCGAGTTACCGGCTTGGACGTATCCGGGCAGGAGACCGATTGGCAGAGCGCCGCCTTCCGGCAGAAGCTGGTTAGTCAAATTGAGGATGCCAAGAGGAAAGCTGGTGTGGACCACATTATATCGAGCAAGGATATGGAGAACCATGTATTCCTGAAGGCCAAGACCCGCGACGAATACCTTTCCCTCGTGGCCAAGCTCATTATCCATTTTCGAGATATTTGGTTATCACGTGGTGCACCTGCAACTTGACAGCTCACGTTTGGGATACTTCCCCTCATTTGTAGGGACAAGGATTGGATGGAGACTACCCATGACCTATGGCTTCGAGGAACTTTCATCGATTTCGGCCCCAAGGAAATTCACATCTTCAGCACCCTGGCCTTTACAGCTATGCTTCTCTTGTCCCCACACTCTGACCATCCCTCTCTTCCCTCATAATCCTTGTCCCTCTCCAGCAGGAAGTAGCCAGACAATCTCATCGCCCTGCTCCCAACATAAAAACAAATAGGGAGGAATGTTGGGTATGTTAAGTTTCCTCTCAGGAGAACATCATGGGATCACTTACCCCTACCCCTCCTCTCCAAAGGGTGCCAAGCCAAAGAGCACCAAAGTCAAAGGTTTTCTTGACCAATCCCCATAGGACACAGTGTCTGCTTGCTCCTGAGTCACCCTGTCAAGCAGCACCTGCCACATCACCTATACAACCCTTCTTAAGCCAAAGCTTGCAAGCTCTCTGCCTTCTTCCACTCTTCCCTCTTCCTCTTCTTTCTCTCTGTCTCTGCTCTCTTCTCTCTTTCTCTCTGCTCTCCTCTTCTCCTCTCTGCTCTGTGCCTCTCCTTTTCTTCCCCTTCGGACATCCCCTCAATAAAATCTCTTGGTTGAAAAAAAAATACTCAACCAAATAGTGGCTAAAAAGTCTCTAAATTTGATAAGAAATATAAATCTACAAATTGAAGAAGACGAGTGAATCCCAAACTGAAGAAATCCATGACAAGACATTTAATATTTACACTTCTGAAAACCGAAGTTACAGACAAAAATCTCAAAAGTAGAAAAATAATGTTACCTACAAGGGAAAGCAACTTGAATGACAATAGATTTCTCATCAGAAACCCAGCAGGTCAAAAGTTATTGGTACAACATTTTTCAAGTGCTGAAAGAAAAGAATTGTCTGCTCAATTCTGTTTCCATGAAATTATCTCTCAGGAATGAAAGGGCAATCAAGACTGTTTTAGTCAGCTTTTTAATTTCTGCGACCAAAACACTGACAAAAACAAGGTAAAATTTATTTGTGGCTTATGGTTTCATAAGGTTTATGAAGTCTCAGTCTGTAGATAGCTAATTCCATTGCTCTGGGCCCAAGGTGAGGCAGAAAGTCATGGTGGAAAGATGTGGAGGAGTAAAGCAGATTAGAATATGGCAACAAGGAAGCAGGGAGAGAGAGAGAGAGAGAGAGAGAGAGAGAGAGCGCGCGCACGAACGAGCTCCACTCACCAAGGGTAAAATATAAACTCAAAGGCACATGCCCAGTGACCTACCTCTTCTAGGTTCACTCTACATGCCTACAGTTACCACCCAGCTAATCCATTCAAGAGGCTTAATATACTGATTAGTTTTAGGCTTTCATCACCCAATCATTTCACCTCTAAACTTTCTTGCATTATCTCACACATGAGCTTTTGGGGAATACTTTATATCTAAACCATAACAAAGATGGTCTCAGATTAAAGAAAACTAAGAGATTTTGTCCTACCCTAAAGCATGGCCAAAGGAAGAGCTCTAATCAGGAAGGAAAAAAAAAGATTTTTGGAGAACTGGGAAAGAAGAAAGTTTGCAGTAAACAAAACTATGGCTATGTAAATAGACCTTCATTCTTTTGCGTTTTCTAGGTATAACATATCAAATTTGTGGACCACATGTAAAGCAATGCTGAGGAGGACATTTAAAGCACTAAATGTATACTTTAGGAAAGAGGAAAAGTATTAGATCAGTAATCAAATATCTAAGTTGGGATAACAGCTGAATTACTGGAATAAGTAAAAGATATCTACTTTTAAGTACGTTCAAAGCCATTTGATCCTAGCAAATTGTATTGTACTTAACAGCAAATACAACAGTAAGCTAAAATAACTTTGAAAAAGAAGAATAATGTTGAAAGTTATCAGTGTACCTTATTTCAA